ATATTATTATTTAATATATTTAATAATGTTATTTATTTAATATATTATTATTTAATATATTTAATAATATTATTTATATAATATATTTAATAATATTATTTATTTAATATATTTAATATATTATTTATTTATCGACTATATAATGATGTTTATTTAATATATTTAATAATATTATTTATTTAATATATTATTACATGTTTTCAAAAATTAAACCACCAAACGCAGTTTCGGTTTTTTTTAAAACTGAAATCAATCTCTAAATAAAACTACCAAACGCATTTTTAGAAATAATTCAAAAATGAAACTAAAAACGTTTTCATTTTCATTTTCGTACAGAAAATAAAAACGTTTTGGAACGCACCCTACATAATTTGTCGTTATTTTACACAATCATAACAATTATGTTATTTTAAATATGTTTGCGTCACTTAAAAAGCATCATTAATTTAATAAAATACATGTATGCCACTTTCATGGCAAAAATGTTACTTAGAATTATAATAAGTGGTATTTTTAGTTTTCTCCCTCAATATTACATCACATTTAGTATTTTTAAAAATACCTGTGCCCCTAAAACCGTAAAAAAGAAATTTGTTATCTCAAGAATCGAGAATTTTGGTGTCCATTTTGTTCATTGCATTAGGCATTTCTTCCGCTCTCTTTGGCTTCGTCTTCTATTTGATTTTGTAATAGTCAAATCCAATATATAATAGAAATGTTGATCTTCGGTATTGTTGGCATGGGTAAGGGTGGTAATTCGTGTCACGTATTGTATTTGTGTCGTCTTTTGATCATTTTTTTTTAAATTTACAGCCAATCTGAATACGACCCGTGACAAGGAATTTTTTAAAAACTGTAACACGAACATGACACGACCATTTTACGGGTTGACACGACACGATACAAAAATGACTCGTGACACGAAATTGACCCATGAACCCGAAATTGACATAAAAATTGTGTACTTTTATTTAGTTTTTTACATATTAAAAATAACTTAAAATTCATAACACACTAAAATACAATAACATCCATGTTGATCTTTGGTATTGTTGGCATGGGTAAGGGTGGTAATTCGTGTCACGTATTGTGTTTGTGTCGTGTTTTGATCATTTTTTTTTTAAATTTACAGCCAATCTGAATACGACCCGTGACAAGAAATTTTTTAAAAAGTGTAACACGAACATGACACGACCATTTTACGGGTTGACACGACACGACACAAAAATGACTCGTGACACGAAATTGACCCATGAACCCGAAATTGACATAAAAATTGTGTACTTTTATTTAGTTTTTTACATATTAAAAATAACTTAAAATTCATAACACACTAAAATACAATAACATCCATTGAAATTAAGTAAATAATAGTATAAGATTTTGAGTATAACTATCATGATATCACAAGTTCATAATAAAATAAAAAATATGTAATGAAAAATATATGTATTTTTTAGTTTTTTACGAGTTTTGTGTCGTATTCGGATTAGGCGGGTCCAACCCGAAATTGACCCGTATTTTTCGTGTTAATTTCAGGTCGACCCAATTCTGACCCAAACCACTTTTTTCTCAACCCTAACCCACAAAATTTGTGTCGTTTTCGAGTCGTGACCCATATTGCCCGCCCATGCGGTTTCGACCAAAATGTATTAAAAAAAAACTGTTCATCACTCGATTTTGAAGTTTTGGTCGAAGCCACGCGAACAGTGATAAATAGTGTTTTTTTTTTTTTTTTTTTTTTTTTTTTTTTTGCTCTTCAAGTTTTTTCCTTTTTTATCTCCTCTTCCACTTTTTTGTTTTTTTCCTTAAAATTTTAAATTTTCGTACATAAATATTCATTTCCGATGGTACCTTAGAACTTATTTATTTTGATGGTCTTTTCTTTTCTTTTTTATTTTTTCCTCTGAAATTTTATTTTTTTCATTTTTCTTTCAGAAACTTTATTTCTTTTTGGTTTTGGTTCCTTTTGTTCTACATTTCTTTATTTTGGTCGTTTTTTTATCCTTCTTAAATTTTTACCCTGAAATTTTATTTTTTCATTTCGGTCATTTTTGTCCTAAAATTTATTTATTTCTTCATACCCCTTTCTTCTTCCAAAACATTATTTTTTTTTTCATTTTTTTCCTTTTTGAGATTTTATACTTAATTTTATTTGATTAATAACACTAATTAATTAACCTCTAAATTACTCTACACGTGCATCGCACGTGGAATTACACTAATAGCGTATAATAACCAATAAACCAATATATTAAATCAACGGTTTTTCAATTTGCGTCAAACAGGGACAACTTAGTTGATGAATTTATTTATTATTAATTTAGTACTATTATTCGGTAATTACGAAGTGCATGACCTAGTGGTTAGTACTTATCAGAAGTTGACAGGCTAACAAATTTCCCTACCGGAGGAAGGAACTACTATACATACAGGCAGGTCCGTTCACTTCGCTGATTCGAATTTAGAATTTGAGTTTTTTTATAGTAAAAAGCTCTCACA